TTCATGGGTTTTGACTGATTGAGGTGCTGACTGCAGGAGTTGCCGCTTATCGCGGTGTCAGTCCGAAATAGCAAACATAAAAGTCAGGCTAAGGGTCTCTTGTCTCCCTGTTTTCCAGTTTTTAGGTCCGGACCTTTCTTTTTTCCAGCTACCCAATGACGCAAGCGTACGTGCCTCTGGTGTCTCATTAACCCACGAGATACTTTCCACGCCACACAGGTTATCTTCGCGATAAGCGAGCCACTTTATTGTGAGGGGATGTGCGAGGATCATTGTCCCTAAAAGTGGTACCCGAGATTTAAGGAAATTGCTTTTCAATTGAGTCATCTCTCACGCATTTTTATGTACTTAACAGGGCCCAAAGAATGTTATAATCAAAGGTCGAAGTCAAGTATTATAATAGATGAGAAAACAAGGAGTGACAAAATCAAACTTACACCTTACATGTTATATACATTTTCTCCTGAACTTCGAAGGAAAAAATAGAGTTCAAAATAAAGTAAGAACCATTAAAACATTTTAAAAACCTTTCTTAAAAATTCTAAGAAATGTAGGTCAAGAAAAGCGTATATTTCCCATTTGCTACTATCTTTAAAAGCTTTTTACCAATTCATAAATATTCTTGCAACGCTCGGATCGTCATCGACACTATCAACTTCATCATTACCAATTCTGGTAGCTTTCCAGGCCATTAGCAATTACTTTGGTGTTGAGCAAGCCACAAACATTTCGATAAGCGAAAGCCGGACACAACTTCAATTACATTAGAATTAATCTACTCATTAGCGGGCAAATGAAATGTTACCGCTGCCAGTTGACAACGGTAATAGTTTGTAATCGCCCAAATGTTCCAATGTTGGATGCGATCCCCATAGACCCTGAATCGATTTCGTTTTGAGCCCCCGAAAATGAACTAATACCTTTGACACAATCTTGATTAATGGTCTTCGATAAGGGGAGCGCAACGAGGTAGAAGTTGATGTTTAGCCATTTCAAGTTTTTCTTTCATTTGGTTGGGGAAATCTGTGCAAAGCAAAAATCTAAAAATGACGTCTAATTGCAAGCATTTGTAAGATAGAAAAGCCATAAATATTGTTAGAGATTAGATTGCAACACGAAAGAACAATATTAAATACTTGAAGATAAGGCAATAATTTAGTTGTCTATTGGAATTGGAGCAGCTATTATATATAGCTAAGTTCCCATTTAACTTCTTGTTGAAATTGTTAGCTCTGAATCAGTTTATATATAACTTGGTATGTTGATTCTCTTTAACCTAAAGACCTTTAGGAACAGTTCCTTACTGGCAGCACTTTCATTATCGCAGGCCACGAAACTAACTGCAGAGTTCAACTCATAAATATTGAGAGACCAATTGCAAATTCAAATTCAAGTGCATTTTCGATTGTGGGAATCGCCGGCTCGCGGTTATCGAACACACAAAATGCATTCGCCTTTTGCCGGTGCGTGCGCCGCAATTTTATGGGACTCCTATCTGAATCTGCGACTGGGTCGCCGTCCCCGGGATCCATTCCAATAAATACTATAGCTGGCCATCCGAGGAGTCCATGCTGTGCCCACGGCAACAAAGTTGCAATTGCAATTGCGACTGGGGATGGAGTTTCAATGCGGAGTTCGCATCCCGTATCCGTCAGATTCAGATACAGTTGAACTTCTCTAACCAGAATACTTCTGTGTTTAGTTAAATATGATAGGTTTTTGAAGTACCACTTAAATCTTTAATATTCAATGGGGAAAAGAATATATTTAATATTTTTGTTTAAGGGCCAATGATATTTTCAACAGAAAACGAATCTAGTTTACAAAATAAATAGTTATGCTGAAGTAACTAACATTACACTTCTTCTAATATAACACTTCATCTTATATAAAAATGGATATATTTGTTTTAAAATAAATAACATTTTTAAAATATATTTATTTTAGTTTTTTTTTTTTTTAATTTATTCTTCTCCATTTTTTTGGTTTACCGAATATCTACTGTAGTTCCCAGCCGGTTTGAGGTCTGTTGTCCATTCATGGCAACTACCGTTTGGGTCTTTTGTTTGACTTTGTCTTGCGGCCGTCAGCCCGCGTCTATTTGTAGATACAAGCCAGCCAACAGCTCCTCTGTCCTCTGTCCTCCGTTTCCCACCCCAAACCCAATCCCCAATCCTCTAAGTCCCCTTTGCCCAACCTCCGTGGATCTTTCTCTTGGCGGTGTGTGCTTAGGCTCTTCTGCAGAAGAGCTTCATTTTCGTATACCTGTTCGTAGACGCGTCTTTCGAGCGCTCTTCGCTTTTGGCTCGGCCACCGAGCTCGTTCTCGCCGCAATCTCAAGTGTTTTTTAAAAGTTTTCCAGCGATAAGCCATGTAACTTTATGGCCCATCCAGCCGCATATCCGATGGCTCGCCTGCTGCAGCTTCATCATCATCATCATCCATCCCAGTTGGCCATGCGGTGGAGTGTGCTGGAGTTCGCCTTGGTGTGATCATGATGTATATGATTCATGACTTTTCACTTTTCCGCACACAAACACACACGCACGCACAAAGCTGGCAAAGTAGCAAAATTGCAGCACAATGGGGTGAAATGGGGAAAATCTATAAAATTTTATTGGAAATCTATTTCTGTCTAAATTGATGGAATACCATAATTAAAATGTACAATTTCTAATTGTAATAGGATCACTAAACTGTAAATGTAATCTTTCTATAGATAACCATCAATTTAGTATTCATTAAAATGTAAGTGTCTTCCTTGACTTTTAAGAGATCTTTGAAAAAGGTTACACTTAAAAATGATATAATATTTTAAAAGTTTTTCAATGTTTCGGTGTCATACGTTTAATTTTATTTAAGATTTGTTAAGTGGTAATAATATTTTTAAGAACTATGTCTTTGTTTGAATTTATAGTAAACTAAAGAACATCATTATTGCCTCCTTAATTTTTAAAAGAGAAAATAAAAACTTTTAAAAGCTTCTTAAAACACAAGCCTAACAAGATGACGATGATCTCATGCCGAAAAGGCTTGAAAACATTTTAATGACACCAGTTGGCGAAACCTCCCACTATGCATATACATATAGTATATTGACGAGGCTGACACTTAACCCTTAGCATAAATTCTCATCAGCTTTGTGGCCGTTGAACATGTTGCACGTAAATTACTGTGACATTGCACTTTGCAACATCATTTGGCAATTTGTTGAACACTTTTGTTGCTCGCGCTGTGCGGCTTACTAACTGTGCCAGTTTATTGATTACTTTTAAATGAAAATGGAAGTCAGTTTGCGCACGGGCATAAATCTTGGCCAATTTTCTTATTAGAAACTGTCAATGTCAGCGAGTTTTCACCCCGAGGATCTGCTCGATACTATATGCAAACCAAATAGGAGATGGATAAACGCGGTGGATATATATCCATTTGGATGATTTATGACCCGGGCGGGCTTGTTAAACATCTGTGTGAAATGGGCAAACTCCGGCCACTTGTTTGGCTTTCACTGGCTTTGTTTACTCTATTGCCAATCGAGTTGTGTGCACTGTGAAGGAATCTTTAACAAAAGAATATCTTTTACAGCTTGGGAGGTTTTTATTTTTGAGTATTTTTATATTTTAAATAACCGAAAAATGTTAGGAGCAGTAAAACTTATCTTAGAGTATTTTAATAGCTTGCGTGGGCGTTACAGAAATTGTTTCTATTCAAATTAAATTCAGAAAAATACGTTTAAATAAACAAATTAAAATTCTGAGTTAGGGGGAATCTTTAAAAATGTTTATCATAAATTCAAAGCAAAAATGTAATATTTTATACAATTTATTCTTTGATAATAAAGGATTTTTTAATCTAAACTGTGTTTTGTAAAAATTCAGAAAGTTAGAATTTATAAAGAAAATTCTTATTATTCGAGAAATCGCCAATGTGATCAATAATAGAAAGCCGGCTATTGTTTACAATTTCCTGTTAATGAAGTAGTTTTCGGGTTTATAGGCCTTAACAAAAAATTAAAAAACCTTGAATTGTGAAACCAATATTTTTCCAATTGTTTTAGAACCATTCTCTATAGTTTTTTGCTATTTTTATTCGAGTGTACGGAAAGATGCCCGCGGCCATTGGAAGTTTGTTAGTTTTTTCGGTGGAGGATATACTCGTACTGCTGATGATGTTGCAGTAGGAGGCTGGGAATGCGAGGACCCGCGGATCCATGGATCCAAGCAAAGGGGAAGGGGGGAGGTGGAAGTGCTGGGGGTCAGCCGCCGCCTCGCGGGCAGCCTTTCTAATGGCGAGCAAATGGCGAAATGTCGAAATGGCGAACTGGCGAAATGGGTCCGCTGCGAGTGGGTCATTAAAACGGTGCGCCTGTTTGCATGTCCGGTAATGAAGGATTGTAAATGAGTTTAATGCCCTGCTGCCATTGATGGATTGCCTTTCGGTCAGCGAAGAAATCACCAGAGAGAAATCGTTAAAGTGATCAATAATAAAAAGCCGGCTATTGTTTACAATTTCCTGTTAATGAAGTAGTTTTCGGGTTTATAGGCCTTAACAAAAAATAAGGCCATGCCGCTTGATTTTAACAATTGGTTTTACTCTCGACAAAAACAAGGTACTCAAAATTGTAACCAGCCAAAAAAGAAATTAAATAAGCTGTTAAATTAAATATCTAATGGTTTTTAGCCACTTTTCCGGAAAAGTCCTATTTTTTGGGATTTAAAATATATAAATAAAATACTAATTGGGTTTTTTTTATAGTTAATATATAGATTGTATCAACTGACACAATAGTATTAATTTTAAAATAAATACGTATTTGGGTTTTAAATATCTAATTTAATATTATATTTAATAAATATTTAATCAGCTTCGAATAAAAAGTTTTATAACTAAAATTTAAGATCTTTTGCGATTTATGGAATCTCTTAAACATCTTAATAGTTTATCAATTTATATATTTTATTTGGTATGGGTTTGTTTCTAAAAAGTCTTTGAGCACTCACCACTTTCTGCTGCAATGAGGCACTTGGCGGCCATCTCCTCGTTGAGTTCCTCGGCGGGATTCCCTTCGCCGGAGTCGAGGACACAGCTCACACTGGCCGATCCCCAATCGAGGGCACTCACCCCATCGCTGGACATCATGGATATGTCCAAAGGAGGCACCGAAGTGCCCCTCAGGGTGCTGGTTCCACTGATGCCACCCGAATCTCCACCGTTCAAGGATGCGTACTTCAAATCCAGAGAGGAGTTCATGGATCCCCCATACAAGGAACTGGTGAGCGAGGCACAAGTGGAGTCGAAACTCCGATTGCTGGCTCTTCGCTTTTCCGGTGTGGCATAAACGGGATCCGCCTCCTTTCTGGGCGTGGCACACTCGGAGTAACCCGGCGGAGCAGTCGACGATATCTCGCTGGTTAGAGAACCATTCAGAGCTCCATAGACCGAGGTCATCATGATATCATTCCGATTGAAGCTTGGCTGCCAGAAGTCCTCCTCCACATTTCCGGAATCCACCAGATCCGAGGATTCCTCCTCCTCCTCCTCCTCCTGCTGTTGCAGCTGCTCCTCGGCCACCAGTTCGTCCAGATAGTCGGCCTCCAGGAGACGCGACTCATCGATCATGGCGATGGTGTCGTCCAGGTTCTCCATTCCCTCCTCCTCCTCGCTGCCCGACTCGTCCTCCTCCTCGTTGGCATTCAACTTCTGGAAGGTCTCGTCCGCCTGCTGCATCATGTCGTAGGCGTGTGGAATGGACGATCCGTGCAGCGAGTCCGAGTCGTTCTCCTCGATGCAGGACAGGTGACGCGTGCGGAACCCATACACGATGCCATTGGCCAGCATCTTGGGAGGTGGATTTATCGGGAGCGGGGGCGTTGGCAGCTCCACCTGATCTCCTTCCGTTGGGAGAGCCAGTTCTCGCAGGGTGGGCATCCTATAAAAGATATAGATAAAGTATTATTAGAATAATAATGTATTAAAAGTGTAGTTATTAGTATTAATCTATTAAATGATAGTTTTAAATCCGAAATAATATTTTTTGTAAGCATACAAAAATAGTGATGAATATAGTAATATATATTATAATAATATAGTAATAATGTTCCATTTGGCATTTGTTATTTATTTCCCATCAACAACTATCTTTAAGCATACAAGAAATATTTAGATAAATTAAAAATAAGTCTTAGAACAACTTAAAGCAATAAAATGCAATGCTTTGTTGGGTACTATCTCCACTTTCTAGTACAGTAGCACCAGCAAATGCCTTTGTACCTGGCTAATGCTCCACATTAAACATAATTTGACATATGTAATTTTAGGGCTGCCTTGACTTTAACGATCAGCCATAAAGGCGCACTGAAATATATGGATTTCCAGCGGAAATGGGCAGAGATCAGTTTAGTTATAGTGAAAGACAATGACACAGAAAGAAATCTATGCAACAATATTATCTATTTTGATGTATAATGATGTTTCATTTAGATCATAAATGATATGAGGTGATATGATAAATTTTTCAATAATAATTCTAAATAATTAATATTGATGTGGTAAAAGTTTTTCTTAAGTTCTTCTTTGTTGGAGATTTGTTTTATTTAATTTCTCAAGAATGGAACTATATTTCTTTCCTGTGTAAACGCATCTTGAGGTGCGAGCTTGTGCTCGGAAGAGATAAGCCCGGACAACTTTAATGCCACTTAATGCCCGGCTAACAGTGGGACGTGAAATTGTCCCAACATCAATCTCCAGCCCCACAGTTCCCACATTTTCGGGGGGAGGGAGCAGGGAAATGGGAATGGGAATGGGGATGGGGATAGATACAGCCATACAGCAACTGCAGACATGCAGGGCATGGAGTTTGGAGTACGGAGTTCGGAATGGGGAGTATGGAGTACACAGATCCCGAGACGGAAGTGTCCCCCGAGCAATAGACAACGACTTCCCCTCGCTTTTAATGGCCACATGCGCATCTCGCTCACATTTGCTGCGCGTGCGTATCTGTCTATCTTTTCCTTCTTCTTCTTCTTTTTTTGTGTTTAAGTGTGTGAGTGTGAGGGTGCCCCCTGCAGCGATTCTGCTGACGGATTCAGCTGCTTCTTCCCCGGTGCAAGGAACTCAAGTACAGTAGAACATCCATAAGATTATATAATAATTATTATATATATGTATAATAATTAATAATTGAGATTTTAAAATGAATTTTCATACCAGAATAACCAAAATGAATAAAAAGTTAATACGGAGTTCGGTTTTAACTTTTAAATTCTACTTATCAATTTCTTTAAAATTTGCTTTTGATTTTTGTTGTAGTTTTCTATTAATATTTTTTTAATATTATAAATTGTTAGAATTGTTTTTGTATACTTTTATAGGATTTTTTTTTTTATAGTCGCATATAAGGACTCTAAATTTTTTATGGAATACTAAGTATTAATTTTAACCTGTTTCTATTAAGGGAAGTTTGACTGTAGTTGTGCTGCAATGTCGTCGGCCTCTTGACATTCCCCTTCCCCTGAACCCCCGTGATTTTACCCTCGAGTAGGTGTTGCAACAGTTATTGTTGCTGCTGTGGTTTCCCCTCCATTCCATTCCATTATCTAAAATTCGCTGGGGAAAAACTAACGTTCGGCGTGTGCCACTGCCACTGCAAGTTGACTTTGGCAGTGCAAAGTTTTAAATAAACACCGCCATCGGTTTGTTTGAGGGCAAATTTGCTTAGACAGGGTTGAACTTGATTTTTTTGCTTGCTCAGGTTTGGCGAAACTCCACTGCAGAATTTGTTAGGGGGAAGCTATAAATTAAACTTAAAGGGGTCCTTTTTTTAAAATGCATTGTAAAAAGTTCTGAGGGGTTTTAAAAGAGATCTATTAAAATTCAAATTAATAGAATAGATTGCATTTATCTAATTAGAAGTACATATAAAATACGATTTATGAAATGAATATAAAAGCTAAATGGAAAAAAATAGATTGAAATGTTCGAATATTATTAAAATTTAAGTCTAAGTGATTTTGAGAAAGGAAAATAAAATGTTATGCATTTTTATCTATTTCAAGCATTTTCAATTCTTCAAACATTTAACTTTCGCCGACTCAATTTTTACTTTTATTGGCCCTATATAAAGAAAATCTTAATCATTGTGTTTTATGTATCTTGTTTTTTCTGCAGTGTATATTTTCCACAAAACTAATGCAGCAAACAAATTACTCGAGGCGACGAAAAACTACACATCCCAAAGCGGTACGAAAATAGATCGGGCAAACGATCGCCGGAGGAGGAAAACTAAGCGGCGCGACGTGGTTGCAGTTGTTGTTGTTGTTGTTGCATTTGTAGTTGTTTGTCGTGCGCCAAGGGGCGTGGTAAAAGGGGGAGGGGGCGGAGAGGGGGTGAAACTGGGGACCAGGATCCCCAGCAAACTGCATTAAACTACTTTCCGTGCAGTTTATTGCTTCGTCTGCGCGCGTTTCTACTTTTAGCTATTCTTTCTCGGTTGCATTTGTGTGCGTTAGCGAGTATCTGTGAGAATCTTGAACTTGTGCTTCTTTCACTCTTTTTGTCTTGTTTACATTTGGCAGCCTCCTACTTTTTTGTTTTTTTACTCATTTTTTTTCGTGGCAATGGGCGCCCCATCGAACATGCGACATTTTTCAGTTGATTCCCAATTTAAATTCAGCTGCCTTTGTTTCGGCTCGCCGCTCCAGACATTTCCCCACATTTCCACATTTCCACTTAAATGCTCTGAGTTGTGGTCACTGAACGGTGCTCCCTTTTTAGGATCCGATCCGCGATCGGAGGGATATTGCGCATTCCACCAGCTACTTAGACGACATCGAATTACTTTGCCATTACTCATTCCGAGCCATTATAGATTGAGCTCCCATTGAGGTAAATGCAGTATTTAAGGGAATTATTTACAAAGAATTTTTTAAATTTCTGGTTTATTCAAAAAATTTTAAATATAATTTTTGTGAATTATTTTGAATTAGATGCAATGATTGGAAAATACCTTTAACACATTTAAAGAGTATCAAATATTAATAAATGAACCTAAATTCAATGCTTTATTTTTCTCCTATAGTGTTATGTTGTGCTTATTAGTAAATGATTTTTTTTTTAATTTAAATATTTTAAAGATTGATTATTCAATAATTCATTTTTTCAATATTTAGTTATTTGCAATCCTTATTAATCTAAAAAGTATGCTATAATATTAACAACTGTAATTTAATACAAACCTTAAGTTGATTTAAGTATTCCTGTTGTTATATAAGATTTATGGGCTCTTATTGGAATCGACTTGGAATTTTAGATTTAACGAAATCTTCTTCACTCACAATAAATATTAAACAATAATTAGTTTAGGAACTGTTTGCAATCACTTTTCAGGGTTTTCAATTGTATAATGCCACTTATCAAAAAGAATTCTCTCACTTTCACATTCACTTTCTCACTGATAATCCAATGTGGCAATTAATCCGATTGGCGCTGCTGTTTCCGTATCTGTATCTTTTGTCCGCCGTAAACGAGAAACCGTATCCGTACCGAACGCGCGCTGGAATGCAATTGAGACGAGCGGATTGCCGAGCGGCAAATGCAACTGCATCCGATGGTTGAATATATCAGAGGCGAAGGCAGCGCAGCCGCAACAGCCCTCGGCAACAGGAGGATCTATACTCGTGCTCGAGATATGCAGATACAGATACATCCGTGCTCGGATGTACGTGTATCTGCCCCATTGCTAACTAGACGGAGAGCCAAACACGGCGCTAAAAATATCCCCGGCCAGAACGTGCAGTCAGCGCCGGTCCATCACTTTTGTTAGATTCCGTTTCCAAAACGAATCTGCGCAATCAGATATTTTATGGCCAAGTATCTAGATTTTTTTGGATCTAACAGTTCTACTGAGTGGATAAAATTGTATAATATTTTCTGCATATATCATTTTTGTAGTTTAAATAATTTTAAGTCGGTTTGTTCTAGCATATTTTTTTAAGATAAGATAAAAATTAGGTATGCCTCAATTAAAATTTTATTTATGTGATTATGATACATTTTTTCGTTACTCAAGTTGAGGTCCTGATATTTATTAAATAGCTTAAAAATTTAAATAAATATTACTTTTTAAAATCTTGTTCATATTTGGAATAGGTTTTATATAATTTTTTTATTTTAGCTTTATTTTTTCTATATTAGTCATCTCTGATCCCCAAAAAGTAGACGCAACGTCTGTTTTCGCTGCACCCCGCGAAGCGTTCTCAGTTTCTAATGGGATGTTTTCCAGGGGAAAAGGAGATGGGTGGGGGGGGGGGAAGTCAAAGGGGGGGAGTGGTATGGCAGTGGCCCAAAGTTTGCCAGCGGAACCAGAGTGTCGCTTGCTTGGTTGCCATTTAATTGCACTGCGATCTTGCCAGTCGGACTTCATTCGATGTCTAGGGGAATTCCTACTTTGGTGAGTGTTTGAAGTATCCCTCGAAAAAAGACATAGAGTTTCGTCTAAACTAAGCGGAATTTAGATATGAAATCTATTCGGGGGAACATTTTCTATTAGTAGGAGTTTTCTCTGCATAAGGGAAAAACGTTCTTCTAAAAGAAAGGATTTTATTTTATATTACAACTAAGGAATTTAAAAATAGTCAAACCTTTACAACTCAATGGATTTATTCTATAAATCTATCAATAAAGGCAATATAAATGCAATTTGTAACTACTAGATACAATTATTAGGAATGTTTAAATGTCTTTTAAATCGAAGACTTTCTTTGCAGTAAAGCCTTGTATCTTTTTCCAATTAGCTGATATCCTGGTGACTGTACTTGTGCCCCAAAACCACCGCAACCACAACCCCAATAAACCGTGCTAAGCCCGAGTTCAATGCACCTGGGGTGGGACACTATATAGTAATGTAGTAACGCAACACATCGGCAACAAGTCTGCCGAGCAGGACTGGATACAATTGCAGTTCGTTCAACCCGCGGAGAACAAGGATGAGACGAGGTGAGCACATGGAGATGCCATCTAAGTCTAGCGACGGAAATGGACTAATTTTTCATGTTTTGAAATTGGATGACAGCAACAGGAGGACACACTTCCCGCGAACCAGCGACGCATGCGCAGCCCCAAAGTTTGTTCACCTCGCGTATCGAAGATGCGATACAAAGATACATAGATACATAGATACAAGATGCATCCGTGTACTAAGTAGTTATAGTTACGCACGGATTGTATTACACGATGACTGAATGCTTCGCTGGAAGTGCTTGGCCCCCCTGAATTTTGGGTGATTTTTCCAAGCAACTGTTTCAATTTCCCTGGCTTTTCCCTGTATTTATCTTCCGCCGCTTTAATATCACTTCCACTTTCACCGCGCCAACCCTCTTCGCTTCCTTGGTCGTGTGAATGATTTGTGACACCTTCTTGATGACTTTTCCGAGGTGCGCCTGCGCTCCGGAATCCCCTTAATCTCGTCAGATCATTTGAGGAGTCCTCCGTTGGCAGAGGCTTTTCGTTTCATTTGCCGCTTGTCGTTTTGATAAATTATTGTGGGAACCACACATAAATTTTGGAGGCCATCAGACCTCGTCTTGTGAAATCATTACAATAACCTAGTCTTTGAGAGTAATATCATCATATTTTAATATATTTTATGTTGATTGGGAGGAACGAGTTGAACTTATTTTCTTACTAATTTACTTTATTTTATCCATTGCATAACAGATTATTTCAAGTTTCTAAATGATTTGCAGTAGAAATACTGACCTTTCAGAGTAAACAACTTATTTTTACTTTCACTTATATTCTATTTAAAAGATGCATACCTCTAAATATGATTTCCATTAAATTTTTATTATTATTTTATTCATATCAAAATTTTCCAAGTTGTCTATGATTTCCATAAGATAACCCACATCGGTACTTCCAGAAGTCAAAACTCTCATAATTATTATCCAATCTAAAAGAGACAAACCTCTAAACGATTGTGATGGAATTGCAAATCGAACTGCGTTTAAATTTTTCTATTTGAAGAGGGTAGAAATTTTTACCCACGTTCATGTAAGATTTGTTCAAAACTAAAATGGTTTGCGCAAAATTAACCAAAAAAGGCACTTCCAAATTCTGAAACTTGACAAATTTTAATCCGATCTTAAAGTGACTTACCTCTAAGAGTTTGCGATACAATTTTTAGGCAGACTGCATAATTTTCTGTGGCGCCATAAAATATGTGTATTCTGTTCGCTTGTGAAACTAAAAGATCTGGTTGAAGGCTTTGATGCCGAAGGTTTGTGTATTGGGTAAAGTTAATCAGGCGCTAAAATGTAGTTTCAGTGACTTCACAGTAAAGACTTTGTACCAAATGTTGTAGTTAAAATATATTGTATTTTAGAAAGGATTAAAAAATTGTTCGGTATTCAGTTTGATAAAAAAAAACAAATATTACTTTCTTTATAGCAACTGTATTTATAGTTATACGCTTTTGGGATGTAGGTTTGAACGTTGGCTAATGTTGACAGCTTTTTCAGCAACATGTTGCAGTGCACATTAGTTTTGCCTTTTTATTGAAATTAGCCTCGAAATTAGGAATGCCGGTAGATCTTTATGATTTGTATTTCCTTCAAAAGCAGACATTTCCTTGAAAGGTTTTATCTCAACAAAGGAAGATGTATCATCCGATTTTAAAATATTAATTAAAAACCCAATCAAGTCGGTTAGTAAAACTTGTTTTATTGTATGGATTTATATAACTTTAAGTCTATATTTTACAGCTTCGACTACGTCAGTCCGCACTTTAAACAATAAGATAACTTAAAAGTACGGCAATAAAAATAATTACAATTACATTTACTTATGTGTCTGCATGGCAATAATTTTGGGAAATTTAGCAAATTCTCTAAACAATTATTAACGGTCAGTCTCGTTTGTTGGGCCACATTACAATCTAAAACGATTTTTACAACAAATTCAAATGACAGTATCTACAAAGCTAAATGCAGAAATGATTTAAGTGGGGTGAATTTCGAAACTTTTGGATTTGACTAAAATACTTTTTGATCTTAACTCATAACTTTTAAATGCCTATGCTACTTAGGTATATAAACTAGCTCATTAAGCTTAATGAAAACGACTCAATGTGAGTCAGTCAAGGAACTTTTTGCATCTGCATGGATTTTGAGCAAAAAAAAAACTTAATTATCGTTGTAACATTTCCGTAGACAGTTTGTTGGTCATGTCAATAAATGGCACTAGGGGTTTTTCGAGGATCGCAGGTTCTCTAGAACTTTTCGTCATCGATGTTGCTTCGGCAATTGTTCAGCGCAGATTGTCGTTTCAGCGTTCCAGTTTCGCAATCATTGTAGGTTTTGGCCAGCACTTTGGGCGTATTATTGTGGTGTATGTTGCGGTTGATAGTGCCGTTGCCATTGCCAATATTACTCGTTTTGGCCGGCATTCGGAAGCTGGACTGCCGTTTCGGTCGCTGCTCGTAGTACTGTAAAATAAAAAAATAATATATATTAGATAGGGAAATATAAAAAAATTGATAAGTCAATTGATCAGCATCAAGAAGTAACTTTAAAATCATATGTGTTAAAAAAGGTAATCATTTTTTTTTTTTTTTTGCATACAATTATAGAAGTTTTAAGATTTTGGTTCATTTTATTGCTTTTTTTTATATTTAACTTACATCCTTGGTAGGCAGACTGGAATACTGATTGGGATACGTGTCGAAACTGGCCGTTGTGGTCGTGGTTTTGTTCAAAGCCTCTTCGGCACTCAGCATAAATCGTTTCTTGGTGTACCGATAGGTGGCATAACAACAGCCCACAGTAAATAAAAAGCAAAGAGTTATCACGATGGGCAAAGTGGCAGTTGAGGCAGAATGGGTTTCTGTAAGATCAACAAAAAATAAGTTTTAACTATGAGATCACTTGTAAAAATATTGAAAGTAATTAAAAGATTCCGATTTTTAAGTTCTATATTATTTTAATAATTTGTAGAAATATTTTAAATAATTAAAAGATTCCAATTTTTAAGTTCTATATTATTTTAATCACTTGTAAAAATATTTTAAATAATTAATAGATTCCAATTTTGAATTTCTATATTATTTTATAGCTTACAAATATTTTTAACTTACCCTCGCATTCGTTGGGAACACAGGCGGTCTTCTCAAACTCTGCACCATGGCACTCCTTTGAATTGGGATTTTCCACCAAACAGCGGCGATGTCTTAGGCGGATGCCATCACTAGAACAACTGGACCACTCACTCCAAGAACTCCAGCCCAGGAAATCTGTTAATAAAATATATAAAAATTAAATACTTGCAAAATAAATAGAGTTTTCGTGTAAACCCACCTTCACAAGGCACCATTTCGCACTTTTGCTCATCGAGGGCGCGACCCTGGCACAATCTCTCGTGTCCTGCGAGGCAGCGGCGAGTCCTGCGACGGATTCCCAGTCCACAGGTGACCGAGCAGGCTGACCACTCCGACCAGCAGCCCCACTCCCCGTGCTCCACTTCGTTGTCCAAGGAATTGCTGCTGAGTTGCTGATCATCCGCTGGACAGGGATGCAGATTGCAAACGCGACTTTGGACTCCACGTCCTCGTTGTCTTTGCTGGGTTCCTCCGCCGCAACTCACGCTGCATGGCGACCAATCTGCTGCATCTGCCGAGTCCTGGGAATCGTGATCGCCCTGCCTTTGGCAACTTCCATCGGCGTGGCAATTGCGCAATTCTTCCTTGGCCAAGCCAACTCTCACGGAACTTGCATCCGGACTTGTGGCCCGGCAGACGTATCTGAAGCGCTTTTCCACGTGCGGTTCACTGGCGTTTCCACTGCCGGAAACCGTAAGCCACGGAGTCCAGGCACTGAGTTTCCTCACCTCCTGGCAGCTCTGCATGTTGCACTCCTCGTAATCCAAGCGACAGCCAGGACACTCCAATCCTCCATTCAGAGGAGCAGGATCATTGCATTCCCTTCTTCGCATTCGGAATCCTCCGCCACACTGGGCACTGCACTCACTCCATTCGCCCCAGGGACCCCATCCTCCGTCCACGGATTGCGGCTTGGCCACTGGACACGGTGGCAAGTGGCGGCAGTACATTTCCGACTGCTCCGATCCCACACAGGTGCGACCTCCGAACGCCGGACGGGGATTCCCGCAGGTGCGTCGTCGGATCTTCACGGCAATGCCGCAGGTTTGGGAGCACGGCGACCAGGCCGACCACTCCGTCCAGCCTCCGTGCTGCGTGCAGTTCGTCACCTGGGTGCTGTAATTGGATTTCATATTAGAAGTGGTTTAAAAAAGTGGGAAGATTCACTTTTTAAGAAATATAAGAGCTCTTAGAATATATACTTTATGTAAGTTTAGAAAGATTAGTTAGTTTTTAGAAATAATTGTTAAAAAAACCTTTTAATAATATAAGTGATTATTTTTGGAACTGCATCTTCATAAATTCCTCTTCATTTGTCGATCAATATTTTAATAATTAAATCCTTACTCTTAATTAGGTACTTTATTTTTGTAACAATCATTTAAATTTGGAAACCCTGCTTTGCATTATATTATATAGTCTAGAACATATCTACTTTATTCAGACTTCCTTTATCACTACAGTTCTCCTTGTAGCAGTAAAATAATTCAAGCTCTAAAAATTCTGAGACACTTTAAAAACTTTCATACTCAAACTGAATATAAATAGTTCAGTGTTTATAAATTTATAGCTCCAACCCACCTGGTGCCACTTGAGCCTCCTTAAAATTAATTGTAATGTTTTAATAGTGAACAATTTTGATTTCGATCCTATTCAAACTTTTTCTAATTTTTTTTTAATTTTTATAAAATGTATAGCTCCAACCCACTTCCAATTAATTGAAATGTTTGAATAATAAAAAATATCGGATTCTAAATCGTTCTTATTCTATCTTCTTATGGTATATAGTATAAAATTTATAGCCCACCTGATGCCCTCGCAACTTGAGCCTCCGTGTTGCGGCTGCGGATTGTTGCAGCTGCGCTGGCGACACTGGCAATTGCTGTCTGGTTGCTCGTGCTGCTGGCAAGCCGCCCAGTTGCTCCAAGTGGACCAACCACCATCAATTGGGGCATTTAACACCGGACAGGTGATCTCGGGAGCCTGCTGCCAGTGCTGCAGGACAGAGGAGTCCAGTGGCTGGGGCATGCAACGCTCCACCAACTCGTTCCAACCGCAATAGGGATCCATGGAGTTGAGGCAACTGGACTGCGATCCGTGACGACTGCAATGCTGGGCGGGAATCCTTGTTAGGGCCAAATCGGTGCCCAAATACAGCGAATCTGTGACCTTCAAGTAGGCCATATTCAACAAGGAACTGCTCCCTGTATCATCCGCTTGCCAAAATTCCACCAAACAAGTCTGAACTCCTGGGTTTCCATACTTCACTGATAATTTCTTAATGTAATTTCCAGTGGTGGCCACAAAAAGCACATGGATCTGCTCCGTTTTTGTGTTAATTATATCCAAAGCCAATCTACCAAATTGTTCGAGTTTCGAGTGGTATAATGGTTCGGAATTAATTGGTTGCACTGCCAAATCCATCAGTTGGTAGCGGGAGCTCTCCAAAATGTGGCCAAAACTGGTAGAACCGCACTGGAATTGACTTCTTTGCCTCGTATTTACAGTCTGCCAAGCGGCATCTGCGTGCTCTTGATGTTTAAAAGGTCCATCGAAGGCTTCATTGATCGCACTCAGGTTATAGGCACACACAGCCGATCCGAAAATGCTAGATCTATAAGGAGAAAATAAAATATTTTATTATTAAAATAATAGCTACATTTCAGATAATGTATTTATTATTTTATTTATTAAAAAAACATACCCTGAAGTTCTGAAGGTGGCATACAATATAGATTCTGATTCGGCGTATGTCATGCCCTGGATTTCATCAAAGTAGTAAGGATATTCCCCAGGCAAAGAGCAATTAAGCCGAGCCTTCAGAAATGAAGTCCAATTGTCCTTTAAAAACTGACCACTGCCACCAGCATCGTTTTTGCAGACACGAGCAATCCTCGAATATATTGCCTAAGATATGGATTTGGAAAATAAGTCTCGTAAAGATTATAAGATTGAAAGGTTGAAGTGAGCACTCACCTTGCCACAACTCATGTGCTCGGCGGCGGATTCGCGAAACAGAAAATAGACAAAGTTGCCAGCCTCGAAGCTTCCCACGAATTGGGCTCCACTCAACCAGTTGTTGTTGTAGAGCTTCGTGCGGAGGAAACGCTGAAAATTGGATAATAGAACCATTACAAATAAGTGTGGGCAGGGGTGTGGTTTAGTAGGTCAGCACATAAACTATTATTTTTGTATTCACCCATGTAGCATTTTAAAACGATCTTCTTTTTTTAATTTTGTTTCATTTGTTTTTTCAAGCCCTCAGGCAAGCATACAGGCAAATAAATTTTTCTTGCTTTATTTACTGAAATCACGTCATTTGATTCGCATTCAATATATTTATGGACTATGATTAATTATATAAGAAATTAAACTAGTCATTAAAGAGTTTTCTAGTTGGTCAAAAAATTACTCATACGCAATGTGTGCTACAAAAAATAAGTTAAGTGTTTGATAAACCGAAAATGCATAACTTAGTCATCAAACTTAATTTTTAAACAAAACACTTAACTGGTCTTATATCAAATTAAATAAAAGCTTCTTTATATTACTCATCCGCAATGTGGTCCCAATTGACATTCGATGATTTTTAATTTATTTATAAAACTGCAGGGTATTAATATCGAATTGATCGAATGTTATATTTTTTTTGATTTTAAATACGATTGCTTTAATTCGTAAATCAATACAAAGTGATACAAACAAAGATTATAAGCCTTCTACCTATATTATATCATTCATACGCAGTGTGGTCCTAATCAATAAATTGAATCACTCTAATCATGTCCAGATATAGAACATAATTTGATTTAAGTAAGTTAGAAATGTAATACCTTTGCTGACATTTCCTTACTAGACATTACTCATCCGCAGTGGTGTACCAATGAATTAAACAAATAGGTATCACTACTTATTCAAATAATCGTTAGTCAAGCTCACCTCATTGGACTGGAGTCCTGTGCGCATGATGGCCACATCGCCTCCCGAGAAATCGGTGGCGGTGCCCACGAACAGCTGGCCATTGGAGTGCAGCAGACTGGTGCTGTTCGCCTGCGGATGAAACGGACACTTGACCACGCCGCTGTCCACGCCCGTCACCGTGAGGTTCTCCATCTGCAATGTAGAAATAATATATATAAAATGGGAGAAGGGTTGGGGTAAATGGCGCGTCAGCCTGGCGACTCCAAGAGTCGCGCCGAGAGCCGAGTGGACAACTCACCTGGCGCCACGAACAGCTCGGCTGGAAGGCGTTCGTCCCACACGCGTACAGCTGGTTCTCACCGTAGCTGTGGAGCACGCGCACGTAGTTGCGACACCATCGCTCCAACTGGCCTTTTACCTGGCACATGGCAATCTCCGACGGCGTGGCCCCCCAGCTGGCCCGCTCCAGCGGCTCCAGGTCGAAAGACATGCGGTACAGGGTGTCCCTGCAAGCGGAGATAGTTAAGATATTTTAGATATTTAATTGCACTGGGAGAAATTCACAACTTATTATATAAATGTGATATGAAAATGTAGAAGAAACCAGAAATCATATACATATTTAGAAATCTCTATTAAGAAATATATATAATAATACTTCTACAATTCTTAAATAAATTCTTAAATGCTTAAATAAACATTTTAAGCATAGTTTGTGTGGTATAAAAAGTGTAGCATACTTATTGGATTCATCCTTTCCTTTTAACAACAAAAGACGAAACATGAACTTTAATATTTTAAAATTGTATAAGTTATGTTTTTTTATAAAAAATATTCAAAATATATTAAATAAAGTTTATTTAATCAGTTAATTGGTTCCATGTGTTTATATATTATTTAAATATCTTTATTACAAAGTAAATATCTAAAATCTTAATAAAGTTATACATTCAAATAACGTTAACAATGTTTTAACTAATGCTTTCTCGCAGTGGAATCCTGTTGAAAGGCTGCCGATTGGCCAGCAATAACAGTTAGAGAGGCGGCCCACAATTGTTTACAAATAAGGCAGACTCCGGCTCCAGCTTCAGTTAGCATTCATTCCCCCCGAAATCCCCCCGCGGCCATCAGCTGTCATAATTTTGAACTGGTTGGCCGCCAGTGCATTGAACTGCAAGGCAAACAGGTAACGAAACTTGGCCCCACTACAGTGGTCTCAAATTGCAGTGGGCCAGTTGGAAAAGCTCTGGAAAAATTCGCAAAACTAAAAGTTTGTGGGCGATCTCGAAGGCTGACATATTGACAAAGTCGCAGACAAGAGCATGCCTTCGATAAGATTCCTATCATAAGTTTAGCAATAAAAGACAAAATGTTGAGATATGAAAAAGTGAACACTTTGGTTTTAAAACCAGTTAAAGTTTGAGAACATTTATTTAAAAAGTATAATATTAAACTCCCCGTAGCTCAAGATACATACTAAGTACATATACGAATATATGTTTTTTTTAATTTTTAAGTTATATTTTAAATCTTCTTAAAATTACCACTGTACTTAGCAAACTTCAGTAGTAATTCCTACACAACCACTGTGCTACCCGCATTTGGCGAAACAAACACGAAGATCAATAGATCAAGTGCATTCGAATGCGCGAGAAGCAATTGCTAAATGGTTACATCTCGACTTGGACAGCGGCATTTTTCCAGCTAAGAGGTGGCGATTCTACTGAGAGATTTTAGAGGGGGATCGGGCATAGAATTGAAAATGGAATCGGTGATGGAGAATGCCGCCGTGTTTGGGCTTTAGAAGGAATGCCGCCGACCAGACGTCGCCAAAGAGCTAAGCTGCAAAAAAAGAGATCACTGCCCACAGTTCGGCCATCTAATGGTCACTTGCGAATGTTTAGCGGCCTTAGGATATCAACTGAATGCGGAGCTGGGCCTTGCCATAATACACTTGAAAAATATCTATATAAATTCCAAGTAAATTTGCAAATGATTTTATAAGGAAAAGAATAACATTAGTCATAATGAAGTCTGCCCTTTATAGAAAGATTTGAGCTTTCTGAAGTCAACACATTTAAATATTATTTTGAAGATTGTTTTTAATAAATAATGGGAATATATTGGATATATTTTCGGAACACCCATAGGTACAATATTTCCAAGTAGTAATCTATATAGCATTCCTTTTTTCCCTGTGCAGATACTGGATCGTCAGGCGGCTCGCCCAATATCAATCATTTGGATTGCAGCTGGCGCAAGGCGCGTGGCACTTTAGCCCCCGTCAACTTGTAACTCAGGTAAACATATATATTTGTATGTATATGTATACGGCTCAGGTGTAACACGAGCTCCACGCGATGCTTGTGCGTCTTAAGCGGTACGTGATGAGGTAATAAACACGCCAACATTTGCGAAAAACGCAGCTCAGCCATCGGCAAACATCGTCGCCCTTCCCAAACATTCGAAATGTGGCAAGAGGAGCAGCTGTCAATAGCCCTCGATATTGGCAAAATGCTGTGTATCTGGCAGATGCAAAACTTATATGGCTTTCATGGTGGTTTCACGCTTAAATTACGGCCTTTGATTAAGTGATAAATTATTGTTCTGACAGCAAACCATAAGCAAAGTAAAGCAAAAGGAGTTCATACAACGATATTGTAAGCAAACAATGTTGTCTTTAATTTTTTTTTTTTTTAAATATACAAGAATAAAGAATATCATTGTATATGTATAAAACGTGGAAGCATTTTCTTGATTCTGAAGTTTTCTATTTTATTTTAAAGCCTTTTAATAGACAACTTCCTCTGTTAAAGCCAATTGAACTTTGTTCTCTATTTATTGGGCTTTAAATATTATATCTACAAGTTTCCTAAGAATTGCGCTTTATGGCTTTTGTCAAGGGTTCTTAGGTAACGTAAATACTTATAGCTTTATAGATTCATAAAAGTCCGTCATTGCAGTTGTAAACAATATAGAAACGCATTAGAACCCAAGATTACAACTGCATTGGAGGTCTTAGCGCCTGAAAAGCTCCCATATCAATCGATGATTGAAACTCAAGTGTTAGGGGAGTGTTTCAAGATCTTCCAAAGAGGCGTTACCGGAAATCAATTAAACTTTGCAGGCAACACCCCTGGACACTAATTCATTCGAATATCCATGTGAAAATGACACGACAAAAGCCGGTGGAATGTGAGTGCAAAATTGCAAAAAGTAAACAACAAAAAAAGGCATTTTTGTTGGCATGTCGTGTGTAAATTTCAGCTAGACTTAACGGCTGCGAAAAATTAATTACTGCTGATTGTGCTCGTCACAGTCTACAGTTTACAGTTCTTGGTGAGTTGGTAAGTTGAGTACCCTGACAAGTGGTCTCAGCGGTGCGATTACATTTGTCAAGCCTACTTATATACAAAAATATAGCAAAACGTTTCTAATAATAAACGACATTCCCTTTATTATTGGTAAAAAAAATTAAACTATAAAGCATTGAACAAAAAACACACAATCTTAGCTCTTCACATTACATATTTTAATGCTTTCATAAATGTTCACTTTTTAAAACATTATTGTTTCTTTTTTTCTCCATTAGGAAAACAAAGGAGTGGAAGAAAGAGTATTAAACACTTCTAATATTTCAGTTTGCCTATTTAATTTGTATGCTTATTTTATTTTTAAAGCTAGAACACAAAAACAAACATGTAATAGGCGTATCGAATTCCTAAACATTTTGTTAATTTTAGCACAATTCCTAGTGCACTGGAAATAAATAAACTAGTTTTCCTTTTACATGTTTATTAACAACGTGCTTGTGAATTTTTAATCACCTCAAAGGTGTTTCCTTAGTAAATATTTTAAGATTTATTTTACTTATTTTTCAACTTAAAAACTATAAACATTTTTTTTCTGACAAGTTCAATGAGCTGTTTTTTTTTAGAAAAAGCAACAACAACAAAAAGCAGCCAGTGAGCGATAAGCAACGGCCTTGTCAATTAGCATTGGCTTTCGAATGGCTCCCCGCTCCCCCTTTTTTTCCCCTTTTTCGCACCCATCATCAGCGGCCGCCTCACCTGATTTTATCTTTCGTTTCACCTGGCAGCAGCGAAAATTCCGCTTAGGTGTGAAAAAGGCCGATACACATGTATCGCTTTTCTTTTCCCACTTTTTTGTGGTTTTATTATTTCTTCAACTTTGTTCCATTCGTATCTGGTGTGCTGTTTTGGTTTGTTTTGTTAGTTGTTTAATTTGTATTTGTCATTATTCTTTGCCATTCGTATCTCTGCGGAGCGCGTGCGTGCAAATATGCCAAGTTTGAACATGGAAATGCTCGGATGTTTGCTCGCTCGATCACCGCATTCAGGTAACAGGTAACGGTATCTTCTCTAAGCTTATTCTTCCCGCCATATTTAGAAATGATCGCATTTTTTTTAAACGGATCTGCAGAGCACGTGATTAGTCTTAGGTTTTTGGCATGTGATTATTCTTAGCAAAAGTTTATAAAAAGCTAAGAAGAAATTATTGTTGGGGAATGTATTATTTATAGAAGGAAGTTAAGCAAAATAAATATTTCTGCTTCTGATAAAAAAAATATAATATAGTAAGTCGCGTTGCGGTTTTATTCAAATTTTTTATATTTTTTGGAAGAGGAAGAATCTTAAAATTTTTTTTAAAAATAATTTTACAAAATCCAACTAGATATACCCCTAGCAATGCAACCACAAAATAAATAAACAAGCGAAATCCTACAAAATTGTGAATTGCTTTCAGGATCGCCATGACCCATTTGCATCACCGACTTATCCACACCGCAGACCCCAATAATGATCTACATGTGTGCACCCCTGAGCATTCGCATTTCGCATATTTTTCGCACACCTTGCGACGCTGACTTTTATTTGAACGACAAGCGCGACAAGATAACAAAAAGGCCTCTTTGTAAGCGCAGTGGAGCAAGTGGAGTTGGGGCTTGAGATACAGATACGCGGATACACGGATACACGGATACACGGATACATATTCGCCGGGGAACAGCGATCGCAGCGACTGGGGCTATTAAAAATGCAGTGTCGCCGCCTGTCGCCTATTGCCAGGTATTTTACCTGCGAGTTGATTTTGCCGCCAGTTGCTCAAGTGGTCGAGTGGTCGCCAGTGGTGGCGGTGGTGCCAGTGGTGCCGGTGGTGCGCCAGGTGCGTGGGCGTTCTGTCTGCCGCTCCGGCGGCAAATCTCGCTGTCCGGGCTTAAATGGGTTGCTTGTAATTAAAAATGCCGTTGCACTGGCCAGCGCTAATCTCAGCTAAAACTGCAGCAATTACAGGTGAACTTACAGAAGTCACATTGCATAATGTTAGTCATTATATAACAAAAAAAAAAAAAGATAACTCAATTACTCAATAAACGGTTCTTTAAAAACTTTTCTGTTTTAAGTAACCTCTTTTGATATTATTATAATAGATAAACAAATTCTATAAAATGATAATTTATTTTATGTGGTTTCTAATAAATAAATACAAAAACAAATTTTGTACATATATAAGGAAATAATTTTTGGTCCCTAATAAAATTTTTTCATATTTAAATTACATAATATTTTTATTTTTATGCTGAATAGTTAACCAACAAACGTTTTCCAGGCAAAACAGGATAGAAACTTTCAGCAAAAATGAAATAGATTTTTATATAAAAAACCTGTACCAAAATATCACTACATTTTTGTACACTTTATTGGTAGTTTAAGGTTTTAAGAAAACGTTTCTTTTTAAGGAGGTTCCACTGTATACGTTTTATGCGATCTGCCTACGCTACCGCATTCCTTGCTCTCAATCTCAATCCGCGTTCGAACGAATAGCTGAGTGTCAGTCTGGAGCCGCTCAAGAGGTTTTTAATAGAAATATGCAAAATGCTTGCCAACAGTTCGCAGAACGCCCTGATATTCACCGACTAGTACCCACGCCCCCCCTGTCGGTGCGCCCCTGCCTTTTTTCAAAAAAAAAAGGAGGGGGGCTGGTACAATGAATGCAGTTTGATTAATTTTGATTTCAATTTCGGCATCCGTGTGCTCCAGTAGCCGTCGAGCTGACGTTAACTGTCACAGGTGCATTTTTGTATCTTGTAGTTCAGAGATTGAGTTACGGGTTAGTTTAGTGATTTTGGGTGGTTCCTAACCCACAATTATTAAGATTTATTATGGCTTTGTTATATGAGGCTCATTCAAATGGAATGCAAATCAAACGAAAAGAAAATGGTTTATAACACTTGTAATATTCAATGTTTCCCAAGGAAATGTTTTGTTTTTCAATAGTTTTTCTTGGGTTTTAGTTCAGGCCACCCCAGCATTAAAGTTGAAATAAAATCCTCGACTAGGGAGACCTGCTAACATCGTCCACCCGGCGACATTCGAGTGGAAAAACAATATTATGGTTAATGCACAACACACGAAAATAATTTCCTTGTTTATATAACGTTTCGGTTCGGCCATTTGTATAAACATTTGAAATGCTTCCCAGCAGGTCATTTGCATGCTCCATTTGCGACAGGCCACAACAGAAAAAAGCAGCGCTTAGCCGACCCCTCCGAAAAATAATCCATATAAATATGTACTGGTAATGCAGGAACTCCACTAAAAAGGTTGCCGTTGAAAGACAGGCGAACGAAAGCGAAAACAAAACGCAATATTATTTTAATGCAGTCTATATCAAATTTCGGCCAGTTGCAAGAGACTTCGTAACCCATACACTGAGATAAAAAAGGAAGAAGTCTGATTTTGACACATTAAATTATGTGTTTATGTTCTATGTTGTTACATAACAAATTATGTAATTAAAAAATTACGATTATCTAAATAAGTTCTTTAAAGAACAAGATGAATTTTAGTATAAACATAAAAATTTTCAAATTTATTCCAACTTTTGTGTTGTTATTATTTTTAATAAAATTATTCATAAAAGAGTAAAATGTTTTTACCACTTTAAATAATTTTTCTCTCAGTGTACCTATAGGGCACCAACTCCAGTTTTCTGTTCATGACAGAAAATTACGCGATGGTTACCAACTGAGCAAGTTGCCTCGTCACTCGTCATGGGACACGGGCAAAAGACCCGAGGAGTCCCATTCCCATTCCCATTCCCACTCCCATTCCCGTTCGCATTCGCATTCCCATTCCAGTCCCGATTCCCTGCCCATGCCACTCGTCGTTTCCAATCCCATTTTCCAGGCCCCGTCAACAGGCGGCTGGCTGGCAGTAATCCGATCTCGCAGTCGTGTCAAGTGTGCTGCAGTCCAGATGCAAGAAGCAAGAAGCATGCACTTCACTCGCCAGCACATCTGCGGATCTCAACAACAAAGAGCCTCCCAGATACGAAACCACATATTGCCACAGTACACTGTACTAGTGGCAGTACCAGTACGAGTTACCCAGCAATTGCCCATCCTAACCACAGAAATCATAAGACCATTGTACAACTAGTTTAGATATGTTCAGCCGGATTGCCACAATTAAAATGCGGTCGGCGATTAGAGAAGGTTTTGAGTTGCGGCAACCTGAGGGTCATTCGGTGGCTTTCGACTTGCGGGTCTTCAAAGTGAGTTCTTTTTCTACATTTCTTATTTGGAAGAAGCCTTATCGAAATCGCTTTAACAAGAATGATGGTTAACCTTAGGTGGTTAGAGATTAGAACTGCAATTGAGAGAACACCTTGGTAGTCGTAATTATCTTGACAACTGCAAAACACGACCACTTAATCCCTTAATAAAATGGTTTTATACAGAAATTAAATACTATACAGTACTATACTGAACATCAAGAATTTCAAATATTTAAAAGTTTATTCTACTAGTAATTTCAAGACTTTTATAGTAATTTAAACAATGATACTCTTTCTTCTAGTTTAACATGTACAAAAGTAAGTTTCTTTGTAAAAATTTTATCAAAAGGAAACACATTGATACAAATTACTGATTAGTTTTCCTGACAAGCTGTCTCATTTTATTACCTATATTTCTAATCAAACGACATCAACTTTCACAAAATAAAAGAGCTTAAAACCTTAAACCCACCGTCTTAGGGCAAAAAGTAGAAAGAAACCCAAGGCGGCGGCTGCTGCAATCTAAAAACCCGTCTAGTCCCTTTGATTAGTTGGCCTTATCAACTAAGCCCACACATTATAGAAATAAATTACGTTTTATGTGGTTAATAAAGCCCACTTGCCTATCTGCCCGCCTACCTACTTAATGCTCGATGTGCTCTATGTGGAGCAACTGCCCTTCGCTGAAAACGGTTTTTATATCGGGCCAGCCTTATCTTACTGCCATAATTCAGAGGTTGGTAAAAAAAAAAAAAAAATAAGAGTAAAAAAGATGGGAAACCAGTCGAAGTGAAAATCATAGGTAATAAAGAATAGAAGGAGACTGAAAAGTCTGACAAATGATTGACGACAACGGCATGATAAACGACTTCCCCTCGGGCAGCAATGGGTTAAGGGCCCACATCGCACACACTATATAGTATGGCTGGGTTTATCAACATGACGACACTATAGACATCTGCGTCCATGTGTGTATCTTATCGGGTTTTCCTCCACTTGGAGAGGTGTCGCATCTATGCGAACGCAGAAACAAATAAACTTCAGGGAACCACATCACATCGTTCTCAGCGCGTAAATGAAAAGCAAACCCCGGCTACAGATACATATACATTTACGCAGATACAGATACGCGTACTCGTATATTAAATTGCTCAACAAATAAGTGGAGTACTATACACCGCTTCTCTTTTGGGCCCTCCAATATTATTTGGTTACCACCTTTTCGTTTCTTGCCTTTTCCCCTTCTTTTCTTCTTTTTTTAATTTTTTAATTTTCGTTTTTACACTCAATTATCTTTATTTATTCCCTTGTGCACAGCAGGTACTCGAGATAAGTTCTGTTTGGGTTGTTTTTTTTTTTATTTTAGAGCTTCGGTGATATGTTCCAGATATTCGGTATATCATTGCGTGCACTTTCATTTTTATTTTTTTAACTTGCGTAATATGCCAAAAAACCAGAAGAAGAACATTATCAGCCAACGTTTTACGTACGCATTGCATGTGTTTTTTTTTATTCTTTGGATCGTTGAATTTTACGTAATGACTTTAGCTGATAAGCCAAAGCCAACAAGATTTACTTTTTTGGGGGGTGTTTTCCCTTTCGGTCGTTATCGCTATCAATGTTGAAAAATAATGACCCACTTATCGGTTCTACTAATTAAAAAGTGACTCCTACAAGCGGTATCTTTGAGATTTTGAAGCTAAAAACAAAAAAAACAGTCATAATGACTAGGTACACGGCTTAGCCGTGACTCAATTGGCCGGAAACAAAATCTATAATAACTATTATAACAAAAGGCTCCCGGTTTTTACCTGGCGCCGACTATCACTTGGTTCCTGGCCACGTCGAAAAGCATTTCCGAATACCAACTCGTTTCGGGATCGTAAAATCGTTTGGCCGTCGACATTAAATCTGTAAGAAGAAAGGAAATGTATTTTTAAAATAGTTCAGTCGTATAAATAATACAACAATCAGTATTAAAACAGTTGGAGAAGCGTAACTAATTGCAGTTTTAGCAAAAAAAAAAAACTCATTAACTCATTTATTGGATAATTATTTTAATGGCTAATTTAAATTATTCAAGGCTGAATTATGTTGAATACAATTTCGCAGAGAGAAATTAATGTTCCCTTACTCCTGATTCATTACCCAATATTTAAGTCCGTCTGAAGGGCTCTCACTTTTCATGGGTAAACAATAAGTTTCTCTCGAATTTTAATATTTAACTTGGGGTAAAAAAACACTACATAAAAATTAAAATCAATGTCAACAAAACGTTGAGCTGAGTTCGCTTTTTAAGTCGAATTTTAAGCTACATTCCACTGCAAAACCAGAAAAAAGAGCAAATATTTAAACAAAATGCAAAACACGAAGCTTTTTTTTTCTGATTAAAAGCAGCAGATACACGGATGTATTCGGGTGTCATAAAAGCGGCTGGCTGGGGGATTCTTTTAAATCGAGATCATTGTTGACGAGTTGGGGAAACAAACAGGTGGGCAGATGGGTGAAAAGCCGCCTGTTGATCGCAGATTGCGCAATCGAGTGCAGACTCTCGAAGCACTTAGAACCCTGACAGGCATCAACCCAATTTACAGTTTACAGTGTACAGTTCCCCTCAAGTGGCCAACTTGATTGATTGCCTTGCAATTGACACAGTTTCGTGTACTTTATTTTTTTTGATAATTCCCACCTTAGAACTTACCTTGATAGGAGATGTATCGCGAATCGTTGTCCAGCAACTCCACATTCGATTGTGTCTTGTAACCACTGCCGGCCGAAAGTTGGGGGCCTTGCAGGGTTAAGAGCGATAGAAGCAGAAGGAGCCACAGTTGGCTAAACATTTTGGGAAGTTTTAGAATTAACATGCTGCAAAGAAGGAAAATATAAAAAATAATTGTAGAAAGGCAATGCGTACAAAAATTATTAGGACGAATTAAAATTAAAAAATTGGATAATACAATTTTCAAAGAACAAATTTAATATACATTTATTATTTTTGTGCTTATTGAGCTATTAATAATCTAAATATTTATTAGACGGTGTAATAATTAAAATAAAAATGTTACAAAACAAAAATAATTTGCAGTTAGTGAATTTGATTTTCATTTACAGCTTGAAAATTTTGTAAGCTGTAATAACATATACACGAATACTATTTTTAACACATTTTACACATGTTTTATTTTGTAAACGTTGATTAGCTCATAATGATCGAATTTAATTTTAAGTGCGAATAACAATATTTGTAAAGTTAAACATTCTGTGTGTACACAGCTTCCGCAAACATAATTTAGTCTTTTAACAAGCCGATTTTCGATCTTGCTTTCAATATCAGAAATACATTTCTGCTAAAAAAATGTACACTTCCTCAATTAAATATTACAAAAAATGTAAACAGTAAAAATGCGGATTACAGATGAGATTGTTCGAACTTACTTCATTTAGTGTCACGTAGCGTGCGAATACGAAGATTAAAATTTATTCCATTCAACTTTTGCGATGAACAGATTGTAAAAGACTGTTGGTAAATTGTATAATATAGGCGTGCGCTTGATAAACAAGCGAATTGATTAAGCGCGTGTTTCTTATTCTTCAGATGATGATCATTTCAGATCACGGATGTTCACTTTTCACACAACAAGCACTCACAATTTTTCAATTTTCGGTTTGATTTTTGTATTTTTTTAAAGATATTTTCAGAAGAAAGGCGAAATGGCTTCCCCTTGAGCTGTGTTTAAAAACATTGACAAAAGACACAGATAGACACCAACAACAGCGACAACAACAACAAGAGCACACAGTCGACGAATATAGCGAGACGGGTTTTTTCTTCAGGCTTTATTTTCTACTCTTGTGATTTTTCAGATATATAGTCGCGCATGCCCCACGATCGGCGAAGTTAACGGCGCAGAGAGTCGCAAGAAACTGAACTATGGAACGCTCTGCGATTTCCAGTCAGCCGATATTGCGCGAAGAGAGTGAGATAGCGAGAGCGAGCGCGAACGAAATGAAAACAAAAACGTAAAAACGAAGACCGAACGCAAAACAAACAACAAACGCTGAAGCAAAACGAAGAGCGAAGAACGGGCTAAAACGCCGACGCGCAAGCGCTGCCCACGTCGCAGTGGCAGCGCTGCCGACGAAGATAACCGGCTTCGACAGCGGCCTCGACTTCGGCTCAACTTCGGCTGGAGTTCGAGTGTACACTCAGAAAAACCAATTGTTACTAAAATAGCAAAAATTTATTTTAAAAAAACTCTTTATAAAAATGTATTTTGGGTAACTTTTTTTCAATAACAAGAAATAAGTTTCATTAAGGCTAAAGGACTTTAAGCAGTCCAAATAAAACAAAAAGTTTAGCACACTTTTTGGGGTCAAGGCCTAATTTTATGCTGTATAAGCTTCCACCAATTATAAAGAGCACTTAAATCTTTAGGAAGATTGATAACCTTAAAAACCTTTTTTCAAATGCTGAGGATATTCGGAAAATGTAGCATACTTCTTGGGGACATCCGGTATCAGTAATTAATATTTTTTGCAAGATAAAAAAAAAGGTTTTCTAAGTGGGAATAACATATTAAAGATTATAATAACCGAAACGGAGTTCCTATTTAAAATTGCTAACAAAACTAAGAAATTTTTACATATGATTATTTACCAGAATTTCAGGCCATTAGATTCTCTTAAACCAGGCTAGGAAAATTCCATTTTTTTTGAGTGTCCGCTTGGGAGTTAAGAGGCGCGGTTACGGCAGCCGCATCGACTGTGGCAGCAGCAGCAACTGGGCAGGGCGCTCATATATCATGAGACAACGACAACGACAACGACAACGAGAACGACTCTTCAGAATCTCCGGGATCTGCAGTTCAGGGAAGAAAAGAACAAACTGGATGGTGGGAGGGGCACTTGCTGTGCTGCGCTGTGCCTCGATTTGGTAGCCTGACAAATTGACATTAGTATTGCCGACGTCGCGGTTCGAGGACACGTGATATTCGTCCAGACCAGCGACTAACAGATCCTATCTCTTGGATATTTTTGGGATCGTCAGCGAAAATATATCAGCAAATCGCAGAATTGGCGCCAAAATAAATGAATGAAATAGATCTGATGGTGTCTGGAATAATTATATTTCACTTTAGCTGCAAAAAATGTTTAGCAAAATTTTTTGTAAATGGAAAAGTTGGAACTACATTTGTATTTGAAAAATACACCTTACTTGGTAGTATAAGATATTAAGTATCTTAAAAATTAAATGAAATCGTAGTTTTCTTGTCTTGTAAATGCCACCTTTGAATTATACTAACATATTGATTTACAACCCAAAATAAATACCTATAAGGCAAGACTATAACCTTCCCATTTAAGAAATAACAATATATTTAACGCGTTTTCTTGGGATTAGATTTGCTCGTTCTTTAAGATCTTTTTATAGCTCCTGCCAAGGTTTCGCTTTTATTCAGGGAGTTTTAACTGCATGCAGCTTTGTTGTGAGTTGCAACAGCATCCCAAGCCGAGCTATTCAGATCATTGTCAACCTTGACTCGAGAGTGAGTGTGAAAACACAGCTGGCCGCCAGAACAAATACACCATCAAATGGACCGTCTGTCGTGGCAGTAACCTCAAGTTAAATGCAACTGCAACACGATCTTCCCAGTTTGTTTATGCCACAGCACGAATCCGAGGGATACACAAACATATAGAACGTCTGGCAGGCAAACCAATCCGATCCGATCCGATCCGGGAGTTAAGTGTGGGCAGACAACGATCGACATTAGCATAGGCCCAAAACATAGCCAGCCCATGACAATTTACGGCTACCTGAGCCATTGTCGGTCTGAGTTTCCTTTTCTTGGCCGAAAAGATACAGTGGCCAAATATGCTAATTCTGTTGGTATCACAGCCGAAAAACCATTTCCCCGAGAATCCCGATAATTTACAGCTCAACTTTCCGACCGACCGACAATTGTAATGTTAATGTGGCATCGACGGGTTTCCGTCAGGTAAATATATGGTTGTTTTCTTTTTATTACCAAAATATCTTTTTCCCGGCTTCTGTGAGTCATTTGCCAAAAATCGAAAAGGGAAGTGTCCTTATCGAAGGGCAAATCCTTGTATAGCCAAACTTCCTTTTCCGGGACAGTTTATGGTTTTCACCTGTCAATATTGTTATTAACCCACAAAAGGTTTCATTTAACTGCGTTTTGGGTAAATATAGGGAGGTTTTCGAATGGGGGAGATTGACAGTTAGTTGGTTCAGTTGGGTCGTTCGTCAATATTTGCATTTGTCATTCGTTTGAACCAAAAGTGAATTATTATGGCTTTGACAGGAGATAAGAAAGGGGTGAGCTGCCAGGTGCACAGTAACAAAAATAATATATATTTATTAAATATATTTTTCTTAAATTTTATAATGAATGTAATGGATATATGTTTTTTACTCATTGTTATAATCTTTTTAATGCTCTGAATAAATTATACAAAATTATATTAGATTTTATTCTCTGTGTAAAGCAGGCCAACTCAGATTGTTTATTCTCAAATTTTTCGTTTAAGTTTGGGGTCTTAAACCCTTTAAATCAATTGCGGTCTAGATATATTTATGAATTGTTCAATTGTTCCGAAAGTTTCAAACGACAGTTAGAAGTTTAAGAGAAAAAATGTCATTGTTCCCAAAAATACAATAAATGTATATAATTGCTTCAGTCATCTGATCTACTTCAATATCCACTTACAACTAAAAGAAAATCTTTGTGGCTAGTTGGGAAAGCAGAAATAAATAAACTTTTACAACTTAAAATGCACCAAGGGAAGCCCCGACTTTCGAGCACTAAAACTCAACTCCCGGCCAATAAATTCATAAAAAAAATTTGATTCGAGAGCGCAGAAATATATAGTTATATAGTTCAACTGCGAATGTCTGTCTGGACCAATCAAGCCCGCTGATGATCATCGATTGGGCATGCAAATTGAAAAGACCTTAAAATAGAATTGAAGCCAATGAAGGGGGACTCGAATCAAAGTGCGAGTGCATTTCGATTTCGATTGGGGACACGAGGCGAGCCATAAATTGTGGCTCGTTGGCGAACAATTGAAATGCGTTGGTGTTGCACGGTTAATTTTTAGGGTGATTAAAAACTGTCAGGGGGCGAGGCAGTTAAAGATGAAAAATCGAATACGAGTATGCTAAACAACTTTCCACGACGGACCAAAAACCATAAAAAAAGTAGAAATCTGTTTTATTGGCCTTCGAGAAAATGCCATAAAATATTACATTCCGAAACATAAATTCTGACACAATAAAAAGAATTCAATTGCGCGACCCTCACGAATTGGAATTGATTATTAAATCTGCTGCTGCCACACAGCTTATCAATAGCTGAAATAAACTATTATAAATATAGGGTTCAAGCTCAAGCCAAACTATATTTCATGAAATTTATGACATCGCACGAGGCGATAAGGAAGGGGTCAAAAAATATTCCAACTCGAGTTCAACAGACAGCGGCGTCTTTGGAAACTGTTTGATTTAAATTGGAATTACATTTCTCATTCGAAAATTGTGTAAATATTCCAAATCGATACAAATAATGTGTCGAAAATAAATAAATAAGCCGAATATGGTAATGAGCAACTGCCGAGTGATCGAAATAACCATCTTAAAAGCTCAGTCATTAATTTGTGATTTTTTTTTTTGGTCGTTAAACTTGGAAATGAAGCGAATAAATAACGACTAACTTACTTTTATAAGGGGTATTCATAAATACATTTTATTATCACTTGGGTAAGATAAAAACTCTTTTTTTTCTTAAAATATAAATGACATTAGACCCCCAAAGATTTGTTCATAATTAACGTACAATAGATTTTAGTTAATTTCTCATTTAAATCATATCTCAAAAATGGCTTGATGTATTTTCTATTAACTTAGTTTCCGTATAATAAATTTATACAAAAGTGAAACCATAATTTAGGCCGAATACCCCTTTTGAGCTTTCAGTCCAAACAATTTCCATATTAACCAGCTTAAGCCGTGATTTCATTTAGATCTCGATTTATTGCAATAAAACAAATTTATTATCATCTTTGTGTGTAATGCCTTTGACCAACTCCGCGTCTGGCAAAGAAAATTAATAAGTTTTAACACAATTCCTACTGGATTGGTAGCAAAAAGGCGGCTGAAGGGGGATCTATGCAAATGTTTCGCTTTAGCATTTGTAATTTATGAAAACATTCAATTCGACGAATTCCACCTGCTGTGGCTCTTAATGATCTCAGTTAGGAAATTATATATTCCGATCATGCTGCGAGCCAAAAGGAAAAACATTTCGAACACTTTGGGGCAGTTAAAAAGCATTCGGCGGAACTCCCCCCAAAATGGAAATATTTCGCCTAGATTTATTACTCAAATGATCCATGAATGATTTTTTATGCGTCTCTTTTAGGTTTGTGTTGCTTTGGGGAATTTAAAAATATCAAGAAATAACAAGAAATTTAGAGCGAGCTGTCTGCCATATTTGGCGGCAAATCAATTTACAACTTTTGCCCCGAATCGCCAAGTGAACAGAAATGTTTTGTATTATTTGATTTCGCTCGGAACGTTCTTTATTTAGACAGATTAATGAGTGGCCTGGTCGAGCTGTCTGGTGTCATTTCATGCCTCTCAGTTGTCAAATTAAGGCCTTTGCAATATGTGTTTATTATACTTATGTTTGAGTGTCTACAAACTGCAAATGTCGCGTCGTCTTAATGGTCTCACTTCAGCTTTTCGCCGCAACTGACAGCGTTACAATGGAAATTAGCTGGAAAATCGTATCTCTCTTTAAGTGCGAATTAAACGATCTCAAGTGCTAAATGAGGCAATCGTCTATGAAACAGCAGAGCTCAACAAAATATTTTTCTTTGGTTCTCAAGTAATGGTTGCCCATATAAAGAGGAGTCTCTTATAGAACATTCAATTATTTATTTTCTTGTCGATTTTTTTTAAGTGGGTGTAAAGTTTTTTAAAGACTCATAGCCGGATATTGATTTAAGATGGCAAACGGGTCAATAAAATATGATTTTTGTAGGAAATTAAATACCTTACAACAATAGCTATTAAAGCAATATTGTTTCTTTAACTTCCTTTAGTAAAAAAATTCAATTGTATTGTTGCTTTTAATATGATTTTTCCATTGTAAATGTAAAGCTACAGTTTAAAGTTTTCCAATTTCAGTTATTAGGGAAGTAACATATTTACAATAGAAAGTAATACAAATCCAGTTTAAGGCACATTTTATAGAGAGTGTTTTATTTTAGTGTACTTGCTCCCACTTTCTGGGGACATTTCATTTTCAGCCCGGTCAAAAGATTTGTGCCAGATTTCATTATTTGCCAGAGCAACCGGTTAAACAGTAGCTCGACTTTTACATGGGTCGCATGTAGTTCTCCTTTATGATTTAGTTGTAAAAAAAAATACGACTCGAAAGAGTGAAGGTAAATTCTGAAAGATTGTAAGGGTTTTGCCCTTTTACAAAAGAAAAGAGAAGGCCACACACGTTGGAGTTTTTGGGGCTTTTGTTTTTCTACTTGTAAGTAAAACGAAATTAGAGAAATTTTCTTGAAGAGCCATACAGATGTGTAAAAGTAAATAGAAAACTTTCGAGTGGCAAAAAGCCCATTACAAATTACAGATTTTACAAGGGCTTGAGCAAAAAATTAAAAATATTTTTGGGAGGAGTGGCGGATTCCCTAATCCAGAAGCCAAAGAAGTTTATAAAGCCAGCGAGCAGCGAAAATTTACATAAATTTCTGTTTGGCACACCTTATCTCACATTTGAATGTCTTCATTTCGGTTTAATTTTCACTCTTTGTGGGTGTCGCACTCAAAAAAAAAAATATACTTTATATTTATGTGCGACAGTGAAAGCCATAGAAATATGAATCGCCGTGCGATCATATAAATCAACCTGAATGTCCCCTGCCACACGAATGCACACCCTTTTTTCGGAGTTTCCGCTTGATGTAGTTGTTTTTGGTGTGGTGTTGGCTATTGTTGGGCTGCCCAGAAGGATTAAATGATCGTAAATGGCACCCAACACGCGTGTGGTCTTTTATGAGTTCGGTTATGGGTGTTATATGAAATCAGAGAGCAGGAGAACTTGTTTCATAAGGCAAGTTCAAGCGTAATTCCATTGAAATCAACTGGGAAAGTTCAAGGAACACTTGAGTCGAATTATAGCTCATATGTAGAGGTAGGTACATTATGATTTTTAGGGAAAAAGTATCAAAAATGTTACCTTTTAATGTAATATTAAAAATAATTACATACTCAAATATATTACTGTTTAAATACTTACAATTTATATAATCTCAGCAATTGAATAATGTATTTTTTTTTTTTGTTGTGAATTCTCTGAAGTGATTTTGCAATCACAAACCCAAACAAAAATGCATTAAAAATCGTTTAAGTAAGTCCCCTCCCCTCTGACGTCAGTCAATTCCAACTAATTCAAAATAGTCATAGAGTACAAAAAATTCCAATAAACTCGAGGAATTTGTATTGCCATTTAGCATAGTGACAGAGTCAACAACAAAAGGCCATTAAAAGTAATTTGAATAAATCAAGGGAGGGAAGCGAGAAAAATTAATGTTTAGCCACTGCAAATGTCCAGTCGTGAATACTTCATATCTATATAAGACAAAAACAATTCCAACCAGTAGAATATTTCATTTACACGAGCACACGATCAAAATCAATAGAAGGCTCGAACCGGAGGTGCGGATAATTTATTAATGTGATTAGCATTGCCATTGTAGACTCGACCGAAGATCCCATGGGCCGTCTTTGTTTCGCCCAGATGAAATCATAATAGTGGCTAAGCCCCATCTTAGATCTTCGAGGTGTGAAGAAACATAAAACTATGTAGGAAAAATATGAATCCATTAAGTTACGTTCAGAGGTGTCCGACCAAATGGCTTCTATGAATGTAAATGGATTTGACAATGGACCTCCCACAAATCTTACTCAAAATATTGATCTAATTTATGATAGCCTTTATTGGTAACTTATAATACATATAGACACCTTTTATCTTACAGAAAAATCTTACATTAATATTAAGGTAATATGTTGTTTGAAATTAAAGTAGTATGTTAAGAGTATCCATTTTAACAAATGTCATAATTTACTCCTCAAATTAAATACAAAATTTTCTCGGTTCGTAGCTAAATTCGCAGTTTTTTAAAGAAAATGTCTGTGGAGGAGGCCACCTTGAATCTTCCGGCTCAGGTAATAAACTTGACCATCGAAAAGCAAGTGCTGCTGGAGCGACTTGAGAAGATCCAGGACATCCTCAAACTTCTAGAGAATCGCGACGAAGGACAAACCTGCACGGTTTCTGCGGGAAATGTCTACCAAGTCACCACCGTGAAGAATTTGAGGGTGTTTCTGGCCATCAACCGGTCCGTCACAATCAGCTATTTTGTTAAGGCCGACAGGAAGCTCCTTCAATTACAGCAGAATATGAACCAAAGTCTCGTCAACACCAACAACAGGACGGAGACATCTTATTAGAACTCAAATGGCAAATTAAATATTTTATTTTTAACAAAATTATTGTATGCAAAAGATTTAATATGTAGTTAAGAATAATATTTAAATATTATTTAAATTCTCTCTGAATAAAAAACTTATTAAAATTAAACAAACCTAACCAATTTGAAACCAAAGTTCGCATAATCCAAAGATAAATAAAAATTTTATGGGATTTATTAAAGTTACAAATCAGTGTTAGTTCATCTGGTCCTAATCTCCATAAGTTATTTAATAATCCACATTTTCCTCACCCCTGACCGCTAGTTTTTCCATTAAATCATTAAATCACGTAATGCTTCCCTGGGAACTCGAGAGGAGTTTAGCCAGTCACTGATCGAGTTGATAGTGCTGACGACATCGCCTAAAGACAATGGGAAGTCAAATGGCAGTTTTCAACTTGAGCGACAACATGGATCATTAAAGGCATTAGTGTCAGGCAGAAGTCAGCAGCTCAGGCAACCGAATAAAGTTTCAACTGAATTTTCACAGTTGAATTTCCCTATGAGCCGAGACAGTGTCGGAGAGGGGGTTCAGGTGGGCAGAGGAGGAGCAGAGGTGGAGCAGCGGAGAAGCAGAGGCGTAGCCGAGTCACCTTGTCGTAATTAAATGTGTAATATTTGTCTACGCTTTCGACACCTTTCCCTGTTCCACGAAATCTTCGCAGACCCCCAAACTCTCATCTGAAATTCCCCAAGTTTTCTTTCAACGCCTCCGCAGATGATCGTGTAGTTGTTGTTCAACGAGCCATGATCTTTTAAGTGGATTTTTAAATACTTATATTTGATATACTCGTATTTAAGACAAAAATTTAACCCTTTATTTGGAAATGATAAATTATTATTCCGGCTCTTTAATAATTCCATATTAAAATTAATTTTATTTATAAAAACCTACCTTGAGGAACTGCAATTTAAAATTACTTTTAAGTCCTTGAAACTCTTTTTTTAGATTTAGATTAACGCTTTAAACAAAAAATGATTCTAGAGGAAAAAAAAAAAGCCTTATTTTCGGATCAAGTTAATACTCGTAAGCCTCGAATTCTTTTTAGGTGGAAAACACTTTGAAATTCTTTTTGTATAATTAGAATAACGCTTTTAACAAAAAATGATTCAGAGTAGTTGTATAAAAAAACCTTTTTTCAGGTTTACAAAACCCAGAAATCGCAAGTTTTAGCCTTAACGTTAAACTTAAAGTAAAATGTTTTCTAAAAAAAATACCCAACCTGCTCAGAGAAAGAGCAGGGGCTTCCACGGGCATTATCCACATGTAACGCGATAGGTGTAAATTGGAAAAATCACGGGGATTTCATCAGTTTTAAAACTCTATTTCTTTTATATATTTCCGAAACTGGTTCCGCTTAAGTCGGCCCAAAAGCGAAAAGTGCGTCGGCTTTGGTTTTTTGGCCCCCTCGATATTTCCCTCTCATCCGAAAGCCTCTTTTGGAGCCATTGTTGTTTGTGTTTTGTTCGACTTTCTTTTGTATGGAGTTGTTGTTGTTGTTTTTTATTGTTTGACTGCATTTTGCTTTGCACTACGCTTCGTTGCTGCTATTGTTGTTCTTCTGGCTGATGTTGTTGTTGTTGTTGTTCTGCAGATGAGGTTGTTTGTTGTTGCTGTGTTGGCACGTGCGTCAAAAGCGTGCCCATGTGGAAATTTAATGGTTGAGCTTGTTACCAAAGTGGTAAGAGCTATAATTAAAATTGATTTTTTCAAGGGCTTTTATGTAAGATCAGGAAAGAGGCATTAAAAAATTCTACCATACCATAAAGTTAATATTTTTTTTAAATTAAAGATACATTGATATACTTTTTGAATAATATCATCAAGGCATTTTGTGACCAGTAAAATTATTTGGCACCAAAAACTTATTACAAACTGACTATTAAAAATTCATTTAGAAAACATATCCTTCCTTTAAGACTTGGTTGTAGCTTATATCTTTTAAAGATATATTTTTTCAACAAAATAATTTTTGTATTTCCTATTTGCCTTCCCAAAAATTTCTATTGATCTTCTTGCATTTCCTATTGGGCATCCCCGTCTGTATGCCCAGCACTGATTGTTTTGTTTGGGGGCTTTGTAATCTTTTGAGCATTTTTCTCTCTTATTTAATAATCCATCAATTTAAGTTACGAAAAATGAAGTAATTTCGGTGCGACTGTTGATTTGTTTGGCATTTAAGGGGGTTCGAGATCGGCGGCGACCCCTCGCGACTCGTGCTCAATGTTGTTAACAAGTCTGATTAATGTCCCCGATTAGCATAAGTAAACATTAAGCAAATTATGTATGGAGTACGGACGGGTTCGGCTGCCGCCAGTTCGTTTGCCGCCCGATTTCGTGATTCAATATTAGATTTCTTGATTTTCTGTCTATTATTTTACTTGTGCTTTTTTTTTTTTTATTCGCTAATCAGTAAACAGCCGAGCGCCAACGAAATGTAGGTAATGCCTGCGGGCCCCAAAGTCAAATAAGTGCTGGAAAAACTCCGACACCAATAACGGCTGTAAACAACCTTTAACGTTAATTTAAAGTGTACACAGAAATTTGCATTCACGACAAAATTGGTAACCAAAACATTTGTACAGTGGTAGTTCCTTAACTTCGAAGGAGGAAAATTGATACGTAATTAGAGGTTATTACTTAATGTATCAAAGAGATTTCTGGCAAACCTTTTTTTAATTGATTATCAAATCTGTTGAAATTTAGAAATGATTTGTTCCTTTTTTGATTGGAAAATATGGTTTTTAAAATATCTAGTAAATGGCCTCTCTTTATATTTAAAATATTATTTTTTATAGTTTTTTTTTATAAGAGTTTCTACTGTACCCGTAGCATAGATATAAAAAATGAGCTAGGCAGGCCAGCTCGCCTTTTTGATTGAGTTTGTCGGCGAATTTATGCGCTGACCGCTGCTGGCGGCTATTTGGCGTTTCTTAACGTTTTTTTTTTTTGAGTTCCTTAGCGTTTCTAGTATCTTGGCGTGTTGAAGCTGAGCGCCGTCTCAACTGTCAGTTGTGATAAATGCCGCTGGAAATCGGTATTCTGTTTTGGCCGCATAAATAATTCGGATGTAATTGGAAAAAGCCGCTGAGATTATTTTGACATTCGTGCCAGCTTGCAGGTGAATGAATAGTTTCTGCATATGCCAAAATAAAACAGTTTTCAATTAGCAGTTTTTTTTTTAATTTTCTTTAAAGCAGTGACCTTTTCATAGATAAATGCATGCCAATTAGTTTTTTAATGATTTAAAAGCTTTCAGAATAGCTGATAAGATTATTGAATTAAATCTGTAAATTGTTAGCCGTAATTTGCATTGATTACGTTACTTAATGGAAGTAGTTTTTTCTATAAGCCAGGTTGTAGAATTAATCAAGCTTCTATTAGCTTATGGGAAAACAGTTATTGATTACTATTAAAAGTTAATGGTTTTTAAATATACGAGAATATACACTTCGGATTAGTCTATAAATTTGTTATTATTTTTAAGAGGATTATAAATCCGTTTAGCTATACAAATTGTGATTCTTATTCACATACAAAGTATAGGTATAGTTTTTATATGGCTTGTAAAGCATTAAATTTACAGGTTTTTCCATTCTAAAAACATAGTGATTTGTGAGTTAATGATAAATTTGTATGCTAATTAGATACGTATTTGGCAAAAACATACAATTCATCCAATTAAACGTATTAATTAACCCACTAGACACCTCTGCGATATCACACATTTTGAGCTGTCCATATTTCATGTGAGATGAGACACAACCTCTATAAGGAAGTCGGTTTCCCACTCGCAAGTCAAGTTCAATGGCAATCGGTAGTTCGTAGGCATTCGTTATGCTGTCACTCACCTTTCTCCACCGATCCATTCATTCATTAGTAAAATTAAATTGCTTCAGTTTTTCGGTTTGCCGGCAACGTGGAATTCCCCGCAAATTTACTATGGTGGCTGTAAAAACGCTGTGCAATGCGGCCAAAATAAAATGTAAAAACGATTTGATTAATGGCATTTACCAACTGGTGAGCAACGTTTACGATAATGATTGTTACCCCGATGTCGGGTCGAGAATAGCTAAATAGGTGGACGGCTATAGGCATTAATCAAAAAGCGTTTCGAAATCGAAAGAGGCCAAAAAGAGGCTTCATCTTCGAATCAAAAACCAAGGTGGCACGTTCTGCTCGTGCGACACTTGCCAAGCGCCCCCATATTCGGGATGGCTTACTATATACATATATATATATGTATTCATGCCCATTATAATATAGGCACGATCCCACTCACATTATAATGATTGCCATGATACCGCAGAGGTGGCATTTTGATATGCGATGTGCTGCCAACGCCAATGACGCCCCCATTGCTCGCCAGTCTGGCCTAATCTTTTTCCCCCTTTATTTTTTTTTTTTTGGCTAAATCTATGGATTTATATGGCCATAAGGCTTTGTCTTAGTCTTCGATTCCGCATCGAAATCGAAATCCACAGGTTTTCACATCGCTCCGGTGGCGTTTTTCGTGCTAAGCGTGCGTCTGGGCTCATTAATAAAACCACTGCGATGCGATCCTATATCCCATCTGATATATATCCATTCACACAGACATACTATATACAGTATATTGTTGTGTTTGGCAGCTTTGCACTGTGGGGCCAATGAACTGGAAAAGCACACCGGGCTGGAAATTGGATGCCAAATGTCTAGACAAATTCCTTCACTGAAAACGAAAGTGATAACCTAGCTTGGAAAGTCGACGATCTAATTACAGCATTGCGAAGTGCTGTTGAATAGAATTTCTAGGCTAGCAGACAGAAATATTGCAAAACCGTTCTACTATGATGTTATGGTAGTAACTCAAGAATTTATTTTGATTCCCAAAAATAAATGAGTGTATAAAAATGTATACAAATAATTTATCTTGTTGAATAACAAAGGTTGAAAGGAATACTAAAACTTTATACTTTCATTTAAGGTATAAGAAAGTAAATAAAAAATTGTTATAAATAAAATATAAATGTATGTATGTAATTATAAATACTTAATAATTTTTGTTAGTCACGAATTTTATTTTTAAAAATTTTAAAGCAGTGAGGGAGTTTTAAAAAGTTTACAAATATGG